TTGGGTTGTGTGGCTTTTGGCTTTTGTGCCGGTTTTGATGACTTTACTAGTCAAAATCTCTCATTTTGACCCATTACTACTTTTGATAACTAATTTGTTGATATATAGATGTCGGCAATGTCGGATCATATTTATATTGAAATCTCAACGGGTTTTCTAGTAAAATTTGACCACCTTTTGGAAAAAAAATATATTGAACTATCTCTTTTGATGGGGGAGGCGCTGCACAACACACTGTGTCCATTGCGGGGGGGGCGCCGCGCCCTTCCCCGCTCTTTTTAATTTCAACGCCCCCTCCCGCTCTTTATGGGATTAACCTTTTTTCGTTTGCCTCTCTCTCTCTCTCTCTTTTTCTTAGAGAGCGGCCCTCACTTTGAGAATGGTGCTCAGCTCTGTCTAGGGCAAACCAGTCCATACCAAAAAAAAACACTTGACCCAGGAGCAGCAGCAGCAAAACAATGGAAGACATTTCTACCGTGATGCCTCTTCTATCGAAGTCTCTACGTTTTATGAGTTATCTATTAAACTCTCTATGACATTCTCTGCTTTTAATTACTTTTCTAGTCAAAGAATATCTACTTTTGATGCAATTGTCCAGTCAAAATCTTTACTGTTGATTCTTTCCTCTTAGAACCCTACTTTTGATAACTTTTCTCCTGAAACATGGTTGATGAATTGTCTACTGAATTCTCTGCTCTTGATGACTTTACTAGTCAAAATCTAACGTTTTGACCGATTGCAATCGCTACTTTTGATAACTTTTCTGGAAAAATCGCTATTTGTGTATGACTTATATTGACATCTCTCTTTTGATGAGCTTTCTATTGCATTCTTCGCTTTTGATGACTCTTCTAGACAAAATTTATACTTGTAATGCTTTTCCTAATGCTTTTCCTATTTTGAACCACACAGACCACAAAAAAAATTAAGAACTGCAATCAAAAAGAACAAATCCCAATTAAAGTCCCGACCCGTTTGAGTAAGCCGGAGATTGACGCGAAGAATGTTGTGTCAAAAGTAGAAGACTCTGTATGCACCAAGCCCGATTCAAACAAGCTGAGGCGACACATCATGACAGTCATTTTGCAGTTCCCCAGAGATGGATTGTGCCAATGGTGTCTGACGCACTGAAACACGTGGAAACTGCCAACTAGGCCCCAGGAAGTTGCGCGGGGGGGAAGACCGATCTATCACCGGACCGGGCTTCACGTCCGCTCCGGAGCTGATCACAGGGGACCAGTCACGGCTGGTGGTTGAGACCTGTTGATACATCGCGGTGGCTGCGGTTCCTTCACCCAGAGTCTCGCAACTGAGTAGTCATCAGTTGCCTTGCAGAGCAGAGAACTCCTTCCAGAGGCGGGTTTTCTGGGACTCCTTCTTGAAACTCAGCGTGTCCACTGTTTCCTGATGTTGCTCTGGGGGGGGCCTCAACAAATTCAACAAACTCCCTAAGCCTATGAGTAGCAAGAAGCTACTAGGAACAGGTGCGTCGCTACTAGTAACAAGTAACAAGGGCATTACTAATTACTACTACACATTACTACTAGTAACAAGGAGCTACTAGGAACAAAGGCCATCGCTACGAACGGAGCAAGGAAACGCCGCACGGGGGCGCTCCTGGCCTTCCTACGAAACGTCACAAGCTTCGCTACATGAAGCTACTAGTTTCCTTCTTGCTACGTTCGTAGCGTCCTTCTCTTACGTTCGTAGTAAGGCACGTAAGTTACGTTCGTAGCGATGCACGTAAGTACCGTTCGGTGGCGTCCTTCTCTTCCGTTTGACACCCGGAAGAAGAGGCACCCGGTCCGCGTAACGCGCCGTGTCTTCCACGGAGCTGCGAGGCGCCCAAGGTGCGGCAGCTGCTCCGGATGCAGATGGACCGGCTTGAGGTGCCGATGGACCGGGATTCCGGGAAAGGGTATGGGAGTGGTAGGAGTTATGGTGGGGAGGTTTTTGAACCTGCAAAATTCATGGGAAGTGCTGAATTATGCTGGATTGTTGTTGTTGTTGTTTGTTGTTGTTGTTGTTGTTGTTGTTTTTAAACTTTTTACTCCCGAAGCTGGCCTGGTTCTGGGCCCCTTTTAGAGTTCCACACAGTTTGCGGAGGGTGCTTTCACCCAGATTGCGAGGTCTAGACTTCTAGACGTTAGCTGTGAGGAGGACCCAATGCTCAATATGCGACTTCCGCCCTGCAAAATACTTCGTTGGTCCTGATTCCTCACATAAAATTCATATCACTTCATATTCAATTCATGGTGCATGGTAATGGTCCATCCAAGTCGGTAGAGCACAATTTATGGCCATTGCCAGCTGGCTGATTCTCAGCTGCACCCAAGCCTGAGCCTGCCTGATCCTGCGTGAGCTCAGCGCCGGACCCTCGAGCTCGTGCAGGTGGGACAAAAGTTGAAATCTTCCCAGAGCCTTCCTGCTTTGAAGGCAGCGCTGAGTCAGAGGGAGGGAGCCGCTGTTCATCGGGGCGATGGTTGGAGAGGGTGTGTCAGTCCTGCACAGGTCTCACAGAGCTTCTGGAGGTTTGAATGTGCCTCCCAATGGAGATCAGACCTGCTTCGATGCCTTGCTTCCCACCATGTGTTCGTTTGGGTCACTGGCCTTGGTGACCTTAGCACCAGACGCATCAGCGTGGTGCTGAGAGTCGAGCACAGCAGTCGGGCAGGAGGCTTTGGGAGGCTTTTGGGTACTGTGGTGGTTGAATGCCTGAGGAGAAAGATCCTTTTGGCGCTTGCGGTCACATGAATTGACAGAGGTTGTTGCAGGTAATTGGTCATGGTCAAGGTATGAATGCTTGACTCCACAAAAGTGGAAGTTGAGTTTAGAAGCTAGTCGGCGCTCACGAACTTACGGTGCAGATGCTTGCTTTTGTGGCATATGCGATGCCAGCACCAGTAGCGGACCCCATCCGTTCAACTGGAAGCTGAGGACTAGCTCCCACCCTGCTCTAGGATGGCAAGCAAGAGGCGTCCATCGACTTGCTTCGGCCACGGGCTTGGGAGGAATCCAACGCTGGTGTAGACAGACTCTTGACGAGTATGAAGAGGCTTCACAATCCATGTTTTGACCTCAAGAGTCTAGTCTACAGAGGAATGGGCTGACTGGACCTCTGGATTCTCAATGATTTGGACAGATTGTGTGGTGGATAACGCAAAGAGGAGTTGGCCAGGTTTAATGCCAGTTCCTCCCCTTTTTGGCCGATTGGCACTGCATCCTATTGTGCAATGGTCACTGCACCACCCTGAGGGCTTTCCTGTCCTGGTCTACCTGCCTTCCCAACGAGGCAAACCTCTAGTCAAAAAGGAATCCGTTCTCTCTTAAAGGCCACAAGTCTACCACCACACCCTAGTCATGTGGCAAGCGCATTGGCAAGCGCATCAGGTTTTACACCACAGGTGTTTTCTTCAAACACCTTCAATCTACTCTCCCTGAGATCATCACGGAAGTGGATGGCATGTCCGTCACTTGCATTTTCACATGTCCCGAATACCAAAAAAAGGTGGTGCCCTGACCCTGCTTCAGCATGCAGTCAGTGGAGTGCTCCAAGCAACCCCTGACTAAGCCGCCGACCCCCCCACCCCGGAGGTGGAAGGGTACGCTTGGAGTCCTTACCGGACCTTCCGTGCCTTGGACGGGTGGCCGTCCGTTTCCCTCGGATTGGTCCGATTTGGTGGGCATGGCCGGGCCGCTGTCTGTGTACATTCAACTACATCCTGACAAGCAAGACATGAACATAGCTCGACCACGCCACGCCATGCTTCTCCGGAAGTGCATTCATGCATCACTTGTGTATCACCTGTTTGGGTAGCCTTTGGCTTAAGATTGGTCGGCCGTCGTGAGGCTAAAGACTGGCCTCTAAGCGGTTTGCTTGCCATGGCGCTCTTGAACATGTTCAGCCGCGAGGAATATCCCAATGGCGACTCGTATGAGGGTGAGTTCAAACGAGGAGCTCGGCATGGGCCTGGGACCTACTATTGTGTTGATGGCGGCTTCTACCAGGGTGAGTTCTACGAGGGCATGATGCAGGGGACGGGGACCTTCTACTATGCCAAGAAGGAGTCCTATGATGGCCAGTGGCTGAAGAGCATGCGGCATGGATATGGGAAATTCACTTATCATGATGGCGCAGTGTATGAAGGGCGATGGGAGGCCGACTTGAGGCATGGACAAGGTCTCATGAAGTATCCGGATGGTTCAGCTTACAATGGCAACTGGTCCGAGGATCAGCGGCATGGCCAGGGTCAGATGAGCTTCGGAGATGGTGCGCAGTACAGTGGTGGCTGGCAGCACGATGCCAGATCTGGATATGGATCTTATCGATTACCCAATGGCAGCTGCTATGATGGAGACTTCAAAGCCGACATCCCCGAAGGATCTGGAAAGCTGCACGATGCGGACGAAGAGAGCGACTACGTCGGAGAGTTTCATCATGGTTTGAGGGCTGGGACTGGAAGTTGCACTTACAAGGATGGGGACAAGTTCTCAGGCGAGTGGCGGGACGGCGTGCGAGTGCAAGGACTCATGTTCCGAGCCTCTGGAGACGTTGAGAAGGTGGGATATTTGAACGACAAAGTCGTGAGACGCGAGAAGCTCTCGAAGGCAGAGATGGAAAAGATGAGACAGAAAGATGGTCCAAAGGAGGAAGCTCCTAGTTCTGGCAGTCTCAATGTTTTGCATGTGGATCAGGTCGCATCTCTTGGTACATCCGGCCCCGCAGAGGCCACAGTGCCATAGGCTGAGACATGCATTTTGGGAGGGCACACGTTGCCAAGCTCTTGCACAGCTTCGTGTTGTGTTTCACCCTTCACTGGTGGTCTCTTTCAAAGTTCCTCAAGGAACTTCGGGCTAGGGCGACCGGGCTGAAAAAATGTGCATGTGTCCATGTGCGTACAGTAGAGCAGCTGATAGTAGACAAACATTCCTCACCAAAATGCCAGGCTTATTTTTCTGGCTTGGTTATAGGCTATAGAACTCTGTTGCAACAGCAACAAGACTAAGCTAGGCAAAGTTTGGCTTCTTACTGTCAAAGAACATAATCCAGATCTTGCAGCACACGGCAGCTGATTTGCACCCAAAGCTGTGTTCACATAAGAGATCAGCATGTGCCCTTGCGACGCAGCCCATGCGCGGAGAGATGGCTCGACAATCTGGACTATTGATGCTATTTCAGAATGGTTTCAGAATGGTTTTTTTTCTTTTATATATATATATATATATACATCCTCAAAAATGAAGTGCCTCCCAATTTCGCGATGATTGCAAACTGCATTACTGTAGGAGCGTTGCATTTTTATATATGGCCAGTGGGCATGCTCCAATCGGAAAGGGGACTCGGGGCTCTGAGGGGCCGAAGGGGACCCAAAGTGGCGGCTAAGGACTGATGAGCTGGAGGACGGGATTTTTGGTTGGAGCAGATGCTGACTCCCATCCAAAACACATCAAAAAAACGGTGAGATGGAAGAGAGATGGACAAGGCACAGAAGACAGACCAAAGGATCTGAGAAGCTCTCCCACACAGTATAAAAAATAGAGCCCTTGGAGCCCAGACAGCCCAGACTCTGCAGTGGGTGGAAGGAGATTGAACTTCTCAGTTCCCCTGAAGATTAACATGGAATCCCAAAACCACTGGTTGGTAGAGGAAAACCATCTTCCACAGGACTGTCAGGATCCATGTTAGTTTTCGGGAGTATAAGAGCGATGGCTTCCAACCTCAGGGGGAGAGAAAGAGTACGGATGGCTTTGAGCGAGGCGTCCGGCTCACGTGGGGTGCGGCACCCGATTGCGGCACCCGATTGCGGCACCCGATCGCGTCACGTGGCACCTGCAGGAGGCGATCCTCTCCTTGGTGAGCCAGCGACGAGCCCCAGCTCCTCAACATGTGGAGGTGGTTGCCCGGAACCTTGGATGGGGACAACGTGCATGGGGAGATGGAACGGGTCTGGGGATAGTGGACTGGGGGGGTGAAGGTGTTGGTCTCTTGTTCGTTTTCGAAGTTCAAGAACCAGCGGTCCTCGAATTTTTGGTTGTTCGAGGATCTTCTGGAAGTGGAAAAAACACCAGTTTGTAGAGGAAAATGGTCATCCAAGGCTAAGGGGCCATTCATTTTCCACTCCCAAGATGATTTGGCGGGTGTACCATGTTGCCAGTAGCTTAAGTAGCTACTATATATATATATATATAGATCTTCAGGCTATGCGCCTGTTGATCCATTTCGCATGGCTTTCCTTCAGTTTCACGGCGCTCAGGTGCACCCAATCACCCAGCGTAGCCTAGGCCTCCCCGGATTGCCGGGCGCTGGTCGTGGTGCTTTCGCGGTGCCAAACATGGGGAAAGCTGCCTTTGAAAGAGCAAACGAGCTGAAAAGCAAACTTATCGTACACCAAAGATGGAAGGTGGACAAGGGACCTCCCATGATTTTTCTAATGGGTCCACTTCATGCGCCTTCAAATGCTGATGTAGTCACTGCGACCCGATTGGAGAGACTCAGTCTCGGAGTCCCCTCCGGTGAAGGGGGTGTCCCAAACAGCTCGACTGTTGCGAGATGCCTTGACCCACCCTGGAGGTCCTCGCAGCAAATGCGGTTGGAAGAACTTGGCTCAAAATTCGCAGCACGGTTAGGGTGGTCTTGCACCCCACGCCATAAGGTTTAGAGTCTAGAGTACTTTTGCCAACTCGAGGATGTTGGCAAGAGGTCCTCGGGTTCAGATTCTGCCACAAGCATCAAAAATGCATCCAATGGCAATGGGAGATCGTTTTGCAAGGTGTTCTGTATGTTTTCGAGTTGTGTCTTGTCAGGTTTGAGATTTTCGGGTTGGCCCTCGGCGGCAGGCTATGCATATGTGGACTACGAAGATGAGAGGACTGCGGACCTTTTTGCAGATGCAGCTTCAACGGGTTTCAGCACATTTTTCTGTAAACCGTTATTTTGGGTTGAGAGGTCGCGTCAGGCTGCTTTTGCATTCGCCAGATGATCCTAGCCGCCATCGCCTTTCTTATTTGTCCATGCACTTCCCAGATCCGCAGATGTTCCGAGGCCAAATGTGATGCCAAAAAGGATCCATTCAGAGGCGCTGAGGGGTCAGAGAGACGAGATGGGCGAGCGGTGGGTGAAGGCTGGAAAAGGCCAAGAGCCCTCAAAATGTCTTGGACTGGATGGACGAACGAAGGGTTTCTCATTGCCTTGCCAAATGTCCCATGTTGGATCAACTCGAGAGATGCTTTATATAAGCAAACATGTTGGATCAGGGAGGATCTTCCATGAAGCGGCAACTCAGAGGTGCAAGACCCGACCGGTTCCAACAATGTTCCAACACCCGGTGTAACAGATCCCGCTTGTCTTGGGATTTCCTTCGGCGGATCCCGCTCTCGCGAACGCCCTGAGTTGTCCGACAGAGTTGGCTGTGGATCGCTCAAAGACATGACAGACGCAGATGGTGGCAGCCATTTCTTTGGAGCACCCGGAGAGTAGCTTGTGTAGACCCCATCACAAAGGATGCCGAGTTGGTGCACATGGACATCGATTAGGTTTTCACTTTCGGGCCCAGAACGTGCCCAGACTATCGCTGGACAGAGCTGCACAGAGAGAGAGAGAGAGAGAGAGCGAGAGAGGGACACACGACTCCACACCAGGATGTCCAATCGACGACACCAGGAGCTTCATGAAAAGACTGAGAGGTGTTCGGGATGGTTTCAAATATACTTTTTCGAAGCCATGAAAAAATACTTTAGCTTAGAGCTGCCTCCGCATCCACTTTTTTTGCAGGCCTCTTCTTTTCTCGCCAGGGACGGTGCGCGTCTTGAAGGAGGTCGTCTCTCGCCCGGCGAAGCCGGAGGAGAACGACGAAAGCGCGGAAAGCGCAAGCCTGGAGCGAACCCGGCAGTCCTTGCGCGGCAGCAGGGGCGTCCCAGATTCGGCGTCTACGGGTCCTACAGTGTTACAGCCGCCCACCCACCCCCAAAAAGTCTTTTGACTTCCAAGTAAGGTTGTGTGGCATGTGGGTGAGGCTGAATAATTCTACGATAGTCCATTATGATATATTACGATATTATTCTGTGATATTCTTGTGCATATCCACCCGGAAAGTGGCAATGACTTGTCCTCTTCGGCATGGCCGGTTTGATGGTACAGGATGCGACCGAGCCGGCACAGTGCAGGTGCAGTGATGTTTTTCTACCGGGGCGGCCAGAAAACCACTCGTGAGTATGCTTTTCAGGACCCTTTCAGGATTTGAGGCCCGTATGTTTGGTATATGAGACAAAGATGTTTGCAAGACCAAAGGCGACACAGGCGATAGAAAGCGCCAACGGTCAAAGGCGACAGATGGCCCTTTCTATCAGGCGACCCATCCCTTGGACAGCCCAGGTGTGGTTTTCGCTGAGTGATTCCACGGGGTCGATAGCCCTGAAACTGCCTCATCAGATGGAGGGTGGGGTATATGGTCTATCTCTCCATGTGGTGGTGCCAGGTCAGAAGGGTAGGCGGCATATGCCCGTGTGGCACCGCAATGGTCCTGGCGCATGTTTGGGGCCGTTTCATGTCAACGTGACCCGACCTCTTCATTTGTAGCTGGACCCTCGTTCATGCAAGACAGCTCCTCACCCTCCATTTTCGAACTTCGTTCCGGCCCAGTTTGGGGCCGTTTCGCCCAGGGACATGGCATTCGGTGGTCCTTTGCAGGGTGAAAACGGGTGGTCATGGCATTGGGGACATTCCGGCACGCCTGGACCACTTGTGCCCTACATCAACCACACGGCTGTGAGGATCCAGGTGTGCGAGACTCAATGGAGATGTTTCCATGACTGGAGCGAAATCAACTGAAGTATTTAGCTATGGAGGGGCATGTTCCTGGGCATGTGTCGCTACGTCTTTGACTTAAAGCAGGTTCACCGGCTCTTACAGCCCCTAAGGGCACACCCATCAGTTGTAGACATCGACTTCTCCAGCGTTGCTGGTGATCAGTTCCTCAAGGAGCCAGGGTGTGGAGCTTGAGGCCGGTGGAAGATCCTTGCACGAAGTGCAAGGCTGTGCATTTTGCCGAAGGCAGTGCCCAGAAAAGACGGCCACGGACGAGCCAGCCTCGTGATCCAAGACGATCCGAACGGGGTTTGAAGAATTTTGCCCAGGTGACTCTTTTCTCAAGTGGCCCCTTCAACGAACACCCTCAAAAAAAGACAGGCCATACGTCACATGTCGTGTTGCCCGGGCTCTTCTCTCACCTTTTCCGGGCGATGCCCCGAAAGATCGCCTAGAATTCAACCAATCCGCGGGTAGGCAGGCGGCTGGTTGAGGCTGATGGTGGTGAAAATTGGTGGACCCCCTAAAAAGTTTTGACAACAATTATGACATCATGGAAGGAACACCATCCTGAAGTGTCGAGGGGGAACATCCTGAGGCGTAGAGGGGGGGGCGAGAGTCTTTGGAAGTTTGATGTACCACTTTCACGCTGCAAGCGGTGCAATTTATATATTGATTGCATTTGCAGTCATCCTGAAACCCGGTAGAACCTGATGACGATGGAGCCCTCATTGGGCACCCCCAAGCCACACACTTTTGGGCCCAAATTCGGCGAAACCCAACTTCTGGAGATGTCGTGCGTCATAACACTTCAGCTCGCCACGGCCTGCGCTCCCGCAAACGGCTGGAAAGCGACCAGTTAGAGCCTACTGTAGCAGTTTATCACATGTCTTGGGAGGTGTGTGGTTGAGTCTAGTCTAGCAGTCTAGCTATTGGCTGCAAACGCCTCCCCAAGAATGCGTGGTGACCCTGATTGGATGTACCATGACAGATGTGTCTGCGGCATCACACCCTGCCCCCCTCAAATAAAACCAGAAAGAACATTCGGCGGCTACGCAGTTGCATCTTTTTTTCCATTGGCAAGCTATGAGCTATGCTATGCCTGACTTGACTTATTGAAATCGCATATCTTTTGGAGTTTCCAGGCCGATGTCTTCCCCTCTTCTTTTCTCGCTACCCAAGCGATCTCACTGCAAGAGTTCTTAACAAATCCGGGTCCTGAAGTCCAAGCATTGGGGAAATAAGGTTTGGAAGTGGATGTTTGATGTTTGTTCTTGCTAGTGAACGTCAACATGCTGCTAGCAACGGCAGACTCAAGCTTTGCTCGCTTTTTTTTCGGGATTTGAAGGTAAGCAACTCTGATATAACAACATCAAACTTCGTATGGTACGCTTTTCCTTAGTGCACACAGGAGTTGCAACTCCCAACCGTGGTTGTGTGATCAGGGGGCCACCCTCTTCGCACTTGAAGCACAATTATCTGGACAAAAGCTCTGCTTCACACTTGGCACAATGGTGAAGCGCAAGAAGGCTTGGCAGTTGGGAGGTCTGTCCCATTACTTGCAGGACATCTGAACAAAACACCCCCCTGCAGTGTTCCATGCAGAGTTCTTGGGTGATGATCAAGCTGCGTAAGTGCCCTCACTAAGGCAATGAGATCTGCCTGATGAACAATGGTACGGTGGTTTGAGTTGCTTTCGGTATGAGAAAAAACCAAGACAAACAAGAGCCCTTTTCTAGATTCCAACAAAGTGCAACTGCTAGTTTGACAGATGTTGTATGTACCTTGAGATGCTCCCAGAAATGGCATGACCTCAAACCAGGTGGATATGGGGGATGACCCGAACTGCTAAAACCTGCTACAAGTACCAACTGCTGAGAGCTGAGGTGAAATCCAGGCTAGAGGAGAAAGGCGCGGAAGGAATTTTATTCGATGCCGCCCGAGCTTGCACGAGGCAGAGGTGAAGGTTGCGAAGGTTTTGCAGGCGATGACAAACTAATTAATATGGACCCTGAAAACCACTGGTTTGTAGAGGGAAACAGTGTTTGAGGGTGCCATTCTCGGGGTCCATGTTAGTTTTCCCGGAGTATAGTGAAAAAAGGGGTGCCAAAGAAAAGTCATGCATTAGGAGTTGCGGAAGCAGGTGGAACAGCCCGCAGCATTTGGCCTTGGGAGGTGGTTCTTGAAGCGTGAAGAATAGGATGGCCTTCCGCAAAACCAACATCGCAAAAACCTGGGAGAGGATGATGCCCTCACGCTCCGAGCAGCGCTCCCTACCCTTTTGGTAAGTTTCTAGGTTCTTGTGAAGGAGAGCATGTAGCCCGCACAAGTCAACTTGGTGACGTTGGCCACCCCGTTCAGCCGGTGAGGAGCTGATGTGACGGAAGCTCCTGCAAGTAAGTCTTC